TTTCTGGTGAGTGCCAGGGAGGTTAGGAGTCCTGCTCACTCTCACCCTGACCCTCCCTACTGACTGTGATGTTCACAGCACTAGCAGGAACCAGCTCCACCAAGTACCTGTGGCTGGAAAACAAAGATTGCTGATGAGCTGCTGGTTCCAGTGCCTTTAATTCTCAAAGGCATTGAAGGCTGAGTGGCCCTATGCTTAGGTAGGGTCAATTATGGGGAAATCAGAAGCTCCTAATCACTCTACTGCCCTTCATGAAGGGTTCTAAGACAGCCATAAACCAGAAGCCAGGGCCTCTGCACTCCTCCTGTGCAACAGCATCATCAGCATGTGGTGTCTCTGTGGAAGATGACTTTCTCTAATGGGACTTTTGTTTCTTCTGTGACAAAATAAAAAAAAAACCCGAATCCAGGTTTCCTTTGGTTCTAAATGTTTTATACTTCTGCTTAATAAGTACATCTCACTGAAGCAAAGTTATGTTGTAGCATATGAAAAATGGATAGTTGCAGGCCCTTGCTCTTGCTAGGTTTCTGAGAGAAACTGTAGATGATTGCTGGTCATCTCCAAGAAGCAAATAAAGTCAGCGATCGACTGAATAGCCAGGAAAATCTACGGGTTCAGAAAACTCCTGCTTTCTGGTTATACCCTCTGGGCTAGCTATAGTCTTTTAAGTGGTATTGTGCTCTGCAGATGTAAGCAGTAATCACAGTTAAAACTAACTACCCAAGAGGCTGGGAAAGCAGCATAAATGCTTAACTTGGGATAAGTGTGAGCGAATAGGGAGAGCTAGTTGAACAATATGTAGCATGTCAAACAGATGCAGACATGGTATAGTCTGGGTTGGCCACTAAGGGTCCTCTCCTGGGAATTCTGGTCATACACAATCAGTTCTCACCCCTGGTGTAGATTAAATGAAGACAGTTTAGGAGGAAAGTGACTTCTGGCTGAACACTGTAATCTAAACAATATAGATTTGTTTTGCCCCCTGACATCCTTCAAATGTCTCTCCAAAGCATCAGTAAAAGGAATTTTTAAAGGAATTCATCCATAAAGACACTGAAGACAAAAAGGAAATAATAGCAACAAAAATTGGGGCACAATAAAGTCAATGGTTGTATGCTCAATAGGAGTAGATGTCAAAGACCCTATTGCGTGGAATACTTTGAGAAGAATAGGAGTAGACGTCAAAAAAACTAAAAGAAAAAAACCTGCAGAAAGGGAAGCTAAAGAATTGGTGTGCACACCCGCACACCCCTTGTACTGAAGTCAAGAAGAGTCTCTTGGTAAGAATCCCATGTCCCCTTCTCACAGTCAGGCCCTAACTGTTGAGCACTAGGCTCACACAAAGCAAATATCCAAAGAGTCTTCTCGCTAGAAACAGAAGAGCAATGCTAAAACTACCAACACATAGAGAGGCTCTTTCCACGAATACTGCAAACCAATCACCCTGCCCTGGATCTCTGCTGATAAGTTTTGCCTATGTGCTGTCCTGCTGTCCTTACTGATACTGATACACAAACACACACACACACACACCCATCTCCCTAGTACCAAGGCGGAAAACAAATCAGAGAAGCAAAAAGGAAACTCATAAGAACCACACTAGAAAAATGAAGTTTTAAATAGCAGAGCATCAGTTTTTAAGAAGGTAAGATGTCACATCCATGAAACAAAAATAGTATGTTTTTTGTTAATTGTGTTGACTTACTACGGATGGGGAAAAAGGAGGGATGTGAGATCAAGTAAACAATTCCCACAGTCATTAGATAGAAGATTTAATAAACAACACCTAAATTGTAAAAATAAAATCAACAGAGTAGTTCCATGAAATCTGAGGTTGACAGATTATAAAATAAAATTATTAAAGTACTACATGCCCTCACATAAGACTTAAAGACCTCAGAGGTATTAAACTGAGGTATATATTTTAGAAAAATATGAAATAAATTAATTTAAATTGATTACTCCAGGAATAGAAACAGAGATGGGGAGAGGGATGATGAGGAGGTGTGCTTTTTGCTGAAATGGTTGATTTGAAAACATCACATGCACAACTTCAACTGAAATATGTATGTGAAATAAATACATCAGAAAATAACATATGCCATACCTCCAATTCAAACAACAACAAAATAAAACTTTGCTCCAGCATTCAGGGCTGTGTGATACCCACTCTGTGGTTTGCCTGTCAGAAAAAGAGCTCCAGGTTTGGGGAACCCAAATCTTTTTCCATTACTTTTTTTATGAAAAAAATACATAACATAAAATTTGCCTTCCTGGTCAATCTTAAGTATTAAATCTTTATGATGGGCAGTAAATCATCCTGAGCTTTGGACCACAGGAGGTATTTCCTTTGTTATTAGAGAAGAATAAGCAGGTCTGACCCTCTCATCACTCATTCTGCGCAACATAATTTTTGTTGGGGAGGGTTCTTATGTGCATTACAGGTAATTAGTGGCACTTTTGACCACTACTCACTATATCAAATAAAACTCACCAAGTTTGGCAACAAAGCATCCCCACAAATAGCCAGACATCCATTCAGAGACAAAACTGCCTCCATTAAGGGTGACTATCTTAGAGGAAATCAGTACCTTTACTCTCCAAAGCCATTCACTATACAAACATCCTTGAGAAGACATTCAGGGTCAGTGAGATGGCTCAGTGGGTAAAGATGCTTGCAGGCAAGCCTGAAGACCTTAATCCCGGGGGGGTCTACATGGCAAAAACAGTATACACGTGCATGCACGCACACACATGTATACACATAGGTATGTATGTATGTATATATATATATGTTTATATATGTATGTATATATGTGTGTGTGTGTGTGTGTGTGTGTGTGTGTGTGTGTGTGTGTGTGTGTGTGCATGGAAAGTGAGGATAGTAAGGAAAACCTGTCTGCCAGGTTGTCAGCATGGTTATTTAAGATAACAGTCATGTAGTCCCTGGTCCTCAGCATGTACCTGATAAAAGGTGGCTGCCATTTAAGGCATATCATGTAGGGACCTTTGTCAGGGCTGTTCTCATTGTTCTTCACACCCTCATCACGGGTGTGGAGACCATGGCTACTTAGGACACAAAAGTGGCTCTAAGACCAGCCAGCCTCCAGAACCTGGTGTCCAGTATGGAGCAAATGGGCCTGAGGATGCCAGCACTGTGTGGAACAGAGCAGAGGATGCAAGGAGGAGCTTCGCCCAGTGCTTTCTTTCCTCTAAGTCGTTCTGTCTGCGGGTGCTGCTCTTGCCCAGCAGTTGTTTATCTGTCCCTCCTGCCCTGCTGCATTTCAGTGAGCCATCTCCACACATCCAATAAGAAATCAAGCACTCAGACGCAAGGCTGATCCAGTGACATCAGAGAGCCTCCCATTGCCCCTCCCTCCAAATCAGAAAACACCAACGCAAACAGACCCTCACAACTGCACTGGTTACTAAGAAGTGATTAGTGGAGAGACATTTCCTTAGCTGGTAATGCTATGGTATTATCCTGATGTTTTGACTTTAGAATATAAATTATTCTTGGCTTCTACAACTAATAAGTTTTGTATATACATGATTACTCTTCTTTGTCTGAAAATATAATATTTAATTATGGTTTCACACTAGAGTTAAAATTCTGTTTTCTTCCAGAGCAAAATAAAATAACTATAACTAGGGTTTATGAAAAATTATTAGTGAGAGCAAATCCTAGAAAATAAATTGGATTTTTGAAATCCGTGAATTTGAGCACATCCGGCTTCTCATCAGGAAGACAATGTGTGCAGGAATAATGGTAGAATAATCAGCATCAGTCTTGCTGTCCCCCTCCTAAGACAAACACGGTGGGAAGATCACTTGTGGATCTGCCCTATTGTGAAATTTACTTTCAGAAAAGGAAATAGCACATAATAGTCACAGGACACATGGCAATTCCTAGTCATTTCCCCCTTTCTCCTGAGTCTGACATTAAACCCCAACCCTCCAGATAGAATTGCAATGACTGTAGCAAAAAGTGTAGTAGAGTCTTTTCAAGTATTTTGTTTTAAAGTTATCCAAACTATTTCAATATAGAGTCAAACTTAGAAGTACCAGAATAATATAATCTGTACCCTGGATGGGGCCAGGGTCAATAGTTTGGTTAAATGGGATTCTACGTTATTTATAATCTCCTTTAGAATGCAAATGGATTCCTGTGTGTAAACTCAGTTAGGTACATACAGTGGGGGCCTTCAAAAGTTCCTTTTCTCATTAATATATACTCTCTAAAAATCTTTCAGTGTAAAAATTAAGAAAGTGAAGGAAAGAAAAACATCCTATAATTCCTATAATGCTAGTCATATTTAATAAAGAATTATTATAAACAAAACAAAGTGTGACAAGGTCTAGGGAGATGGCTTCATGAGTAAAAAGCCCGCCAGTAAGCATGAGGACCTAATGTCAGATGCCCAGAAGCCACATGAGAAGCCAGGCATGGCACATACCTGCAACCCAGTGTTGAGAAGGCAGAGATAGGGATTTGCTAGCCAGCTAGTCTAGCCTATTCAGTGAGCACAGGGCTAGTGAGAAACCCACATCAGAAATAAGATATAGAACACTGAAGAGGACACTTGATGCATGCCTCTGATTTACACATACATGCGTGCAGACAGACACCTGCACATACTACACAGAGAGAAAACATTTGAGTTGTATTTATGTGAGCAATTAAAAAAATCTAACCAAAAAAAATTCAAAGATCTTGGAGGAGAGAATATCAGGGCATTTTAAAAACTCTTTTTTCCTTAATGTAAAACGACATTCCTAGATTAAAATCCCAGCCAAGGCGTCTTTTTTAAATTAGACTTTCTCAGTGAGCTTGTGGCTCACTGCTTTTCTAGCCTGCCTGTTACGAACACCCCATTTCCACATTAAAGAGAGACAGGGGAACTGGGAAGAACTGGTGGTATCATGTTATGCTCCCAAAATCACTGGGCCTCTTGGCTCTGATTCCTGTTTTCATGGATGTTCAGAAGTGTGAGGACTACCTGGTCCACTGGAACCTCAACCTGCGTGTCTTCATCTTCTTGGACTTCTACTGCCCCCCTTGTTTCAGATCTCTCTGTTCCAGCTTTGAAAACGCCTTCATCTGTGGAGCCAAACATAGTTGAAAAAAATCAAAATCCAAGCATGACATCATGTGGCTGAAAGGTGACATTACAGTGAAATGGCAGAAGGGATTTCAGAGATATATGTGTGTGTGTATATATATATATATATATATATATATATATATATATATATTCATTTCCTCTTTCACAGCAAGGATTTAAACGTGTTCCCCCTCCCCCATCTTCTATTTTAATTGAGAAAAGGTCCAGTGGCCACAGTATGCCTGTCTTGGGAGAGCAGAGCTCTGATGGAACAAACGCCTGCTCACACATCATTGCTTACTGTGTGGCATCAGTGGCCAGAGATAGAAAGGACTCCTGGCTAGACTCCAGTCCCCCTCCTAGCCAGCAATCAGAAACAATGCTCCCTGCTTTACAAAACATTTAAGATTTTCAATTTCCCTGGAGAATGCTATGCATTCAATACAATGTAGGCAAACAATTCTCTCTATTCAGGGTGGTAAAACACGTTTTCATTGCAGCAGGCTCGGAGCGGACTTGCCGCATCCCTCTAGAAAATCAGCATGCTTTAGTTTTATGGGATTTTCACAACCTGTGGCTTTAAGCTCTTGACAACAGAAGAAACCTAAGCCTCTAGGATTTAGGCTAAGCTCCTTCAACTTGCATCCTTCTGCAAAGCAGCAGTCTCCATTTTCCATGTTTGAAGGACTTTTAATGTCTCCCCCTGGCCTTCCCTTCTTCAGACCAAATAATCAAACCCCAGAGCCATCTGTCATTCTGTCTGTCTACTACTTGCTTCCAGACAGATTTAGTGCTGCAGCCACCCTCACAGATGTTTGCTCTGTCTAAACATTTAAGGCTCTCTAGGGATGGAAACTTTAACTCCTTTACTGGTATTCTACTCCGGGGTTAGATTACCCCTACAATCTAGAAACTGTTTCTCTTTTGTCTTCAAGTCACCTCTATTTCTGTAACAAGGGTATGTTTGCTAGAAAAATCACTTAATACATGCCACACACACACAAAACACATCGCTAAAGTTCCAAGGTCAACCTTAATTACATGCAAAATGCATGTTTACATTTATTGAGGAACAATTATACTTAAGGGACCATAACAACAGCCTAAGATATGAATGAGATGTGGTACCCACACATCTGGGACATAGATCAGAGCACTCATAGATGTCATCTGATACCTATGACTGCTTATGGCCCCACAAAGCAGAGAGAAACTGACCCACATAAAGCTGCTCAGAGGTTAGGGGTCTCATAGGTAAAACTACAGCAGAGTGTAGGGAAGTGAAGATGACATAGCCAGGGAAAGACATGGGAAGGAAGGGAAAGACGTGGGGAGGAATGGAAGCTCAGGCACAGTTTACATTCCTCTCTTAGATTACAGAACAGTGAGATGACAGGTACAGTAGACTGTAGCTATGACTTACTCCAAATATTGAGCTTTCTTACAAAGAAACAACACAAATTATAGAATGCTCTATAATTTATCAATAACAGCAGAATGCATTCTCAGAACTCACAGTCACTGTCAATGTCTACTTCTGTCAAGCAGAGCTATGAATTATCAACAGATGTATTTTAGAAAAGGTATGCTATCACATAGAAAAAGCACATTCATTAATAGCAAGTGAGGCTGGGGATATAGCTCAGTTGGTAGAGTGCTCACCTATTGTGTAAGTCATGGGCTCCAACCCCAACAATGCATAAACTTGTAAAGTAAAGCATCTCTGTAATCCCAGCACTCAGAAGGTGGAGGCAGAGAGATCAGAAGTTCAAGGTCATCTTTGGCTATATAGTGAATTTGAGGCCAGTCTAGGATATATGTGATACTGTCTCAACAACAATAATGTCAAATTGAAGTGGACCTTGGATAGCAAGTGTCAATCTTAAGAAAAAAACAGGAGATCAATCTTGAGATGGGGGAGACACATAGAGGGTCCGACCGTGGAGGTGTTCACCTGGGTGGGGCTGGGGGATCATTCCTCAGTGAGTAGAGATGCTGATGCTGTTCCCTCTGGCATCATATAAGGGGGCTGGAGTGGGGGAAAGGTTCACCACACATGCACAAGTAAACCTTGAGATTTATAAGTCATTATCCACATTAAAATTATACCATGAGCATTTACCAAACCATCAAATAGTACTTGGAAATATTAAAATATGGCAATGATGTGCTATAACTAATAAGCAATACTGAATAATAAAGACTGGGTTTTTGAATGGATGGGGACATTGTAAGCAGTTGATGGACGTGTAACTGCATGAGATTACTGAAGAATTGCCACTCTGGGAGCAGGGAAAGGGTCCTGGAGGCAGCCCCTAGTGGAGGGAGATCCCAGGGGCAATCCCTTTCTGTACACAGCAGAAACACATAATCTGTCTTCTGAATCCTTGTTTCCAAGAGTAAGCCTGGAGCACTATACACAGTACGTTCACAGTGAACATTTATTGAAAATAAGGTGGAAACAAGCCCCGGATTTACTCTTGTTCTCACACATCAATTCCCTTCCTGCTTGATATGCCTCTTCATGTGCAGCTGCTCCAGACACCTTGTGAGTATTTAGTTCTTCCTTCTCACACTAGCCTCTGACACTGTGCACACTGACTTCCTGGTTTGGACACAATTATATCACCTCCCTCATCAGTATCTCCTTGGATGCCCCTCCTACGTCTTGCTTAAGGAAATCTCACCTTCCTATCTCTCACCATCAGAGTAATGATGCCCACAAGAGTATTCTGTATCCTGGTCCATACATTATGCATCTCTCCTACTTCCTACTCCATTAGCAGAGCCTCAGCTACATCTACCACATCTTTGTCTCCTTTCCTAAGCAATGTACATTAGTAATATGTACACGGTGTTGTTTCATAGCTCAAGCCTACTTCATGCTTTCTCTCTTGCCCTTGCAGAAGTCCTGGTGGAGTCTAGCCCTTAGTTCAAATCACATTCAACATTAATACTATACAATGATCACCTCCAGGCTCTTCCTGGACCACACAGTCAAATAAAACCAGTCGTTTCCTCTCAGCACTCATTATCTCACTGTCTTTGTTCATTCATAAATCATTATTTCATTTACCAATTTCTATTGCTTACTATGCTTTGATCCCTGATGTTCTACAAGTCCTTCCAGTATAGACCGCATCTTTTGTCTTTGCAAGTCCTATTCCTGGCACAATGGCTGCCTCCAAACAGATTTTGAAAAAAAATGTTTGCCAAGCTGAACAGAGAGTAGTACCAAGTACTTTGTAAACACCAAATCTTGCCATTGCTTACAAATGTTAACTATAATAGAATTTCAATGTACATATGCCTGCCACCAAGATTAGGAGTCCATGTGGTGTTCAAAAATAAACCTATATATATATACATATATGATCTATGTAATTTTAAGTATATAGACAATAATATAATGCCTTATGACTTTCTCAGATATCTTTACTACTAGCTTAACCCCCATGCCTTTCTCTTGTATTTATTTCCCTACCTCTTCCCAATTAAAGTACCCCTCACCCTGTTTCTCCCTTCAAGTCACTTGCACACTCTTATTCTTCTCATAGTTTAAATGAACTCTTTCTATCTGGAATGACAATGCTCCCCCAAGAGCCACTGACAATGCTCCCCCAAGAGCCACAAACTATCTAACAAAAACCCCAATACCAGGCATCAGAATCCCCATTTGAAGTTGCTGGTCAGAGTACTGAGGACTAGAATTCGTGGTACCAGAAGATGTCATGCAAGCTTCCAAAGGAAAGAAGTAACATTTGGAGACACAAATGGAATGCAGGTAAAGACACCTGTCATAAAAGGGATATAAAACTGATTGCTGTTCTAGTTATAACTCCATCATGTATTTGTCTCTCATGTGGGGGGTGGGAGGCAATAAGAACATAACAATGTAAATGATAGTGAAAGTATATAATTCAAAGTGAATCTCAATGACTTCAGAATGGCTATTCTATCTATACAGAAGTTCACTGGCATGTGCAGACTCACTGAATTTTTTTCAAGTTCTCTAAAATAAAGTTTTGATTAAAAGAATAAAAATTATTTAATTTGGCTGAATACATGGCTCAGTCGACACAAACGTGAGGATCTGAAATCAAATTCCAACACCCATGTTAAAAAGAAGAGAAGGGGGATGAGGTAACAGTCAGGTGTAACAGATACAATAAGATCCCCCAAGGAAATCAGAGAGTTCCAGTTTCAGTGAGAGACCCTGTCTCAAAAAGACAAGGTGTAAAATGATTGAGGAAGACACCAGAAATATCTCTCTCTCTCTCTCTCTCTCTCTCTCTCTCTCTCTCTCTCTCTCTCTCTCTCTCTCTCTCTCTCTCTCTCCCCGCACGCATTCACACACACACACACACACACACACACACACACACACACACACAATTTAATTCATCCCAATGCCTAGAAACCCTCCAACATCTTTCCTTTACACCTTAGAACACAAGTTCTTCACAAGGTATAAAGAATTGAGATTGGGCAGCACACTTCTTCCCCTTCCTGTACACCCATTTACACTGACCTTAATTCTGTCTCCAACAGAAACCCCACTTACACCATGTGGCCTTTTGCTTTCCACATCCTTTGCCCCTTTTCACATGATTAGCTAATCCTTGCCATTCAGTTCTCAGAAAAGTAGTCTACACTCCAATCCCAGCAGCCATCACTTACTCAGTGTCTCACTGTCATTTTCTGCCTGGTGCTCATTTGTTTGGTAACTTCCTGTCCATCACTTTCTCCCAAAGCAGAGAGCAGGGATGTATAAACCTTGTTCATTACTGCCTCCAGCAATGAACAGAACCCAGCACAGAGACATCAAAATGCGATTGGACACTGAGGCACATTTGTATATGTGAGGAGCCAATAGCTTATAAAGACACTCATTTCATACTCTGTTCTTATAGGACCTTTGCCCCAAGCTGGTCACACTTGCAGTATAGTGTTAGAATAGAGATGGGAAAGGATAATAACAAAAGCACTCAAGGAA